TGCCGCCTCCGTAGCTGCCACTGCCTACAGTCACCTGACTACTGTGCACAGCTGTACCAAGGAAGGACAGACGCACAAGGGTCAGAAGGACCGCAAAGGGGGCCCAGCTGCACCTGCCTGCCGTGAGTGCCTGCAGCTCGTGGTCCGTGGTGACCTCCTCTTTGCAAACAGAGGCACTGGAAGTCAAGTGAGCACTTCAGAAGGATGTAGGCATTCATTTAAGTATGCTACCCCTGTTTAGGGACAGGTCCTTAGTGCTCAGCTTTTACGGAAGACATCTCCTAATGATCTCCAGCCAGTGTCGGCGAGTATCACAAGCAAGAAAAAGCAGGCCTTGCTCACTCTGGTGTTCCTTGTATGAGAGTAGAAAACAAAGGCCACCCCGACCAGCCCATCCAGCCTCCGTCCCTGGACGATGCTACTTACAGATGCTCACTTGACTCTGCAGTTCCCCTGACATCCTGTGAAATCAAAGCAAGGTCATCAGCCATAGGAGCAGAGACGCTGGTGTAGGGGTAGAGTAGGGCTGTCCCCTAGCACTTTCATGAAGCCTTGTAGCATTCACAGATCACACCTGGCTGCACCTAGCTTAGGCGGGAGTTCAGAAGCATGGTGCTTGGGAGAAGTGGGGTGATAGCAATGGCTTCTCCCCTACCCTTCTAACCTATACATCCTAACTTGAATGTTTCTGCTCACCCCGGACCACCAATATTTCTAGGGATGCCTGGAAAAGCCTTTCTTCATTCTCATTGCTCCATGGGTACATCCATCTCTTTGGCCCATGGGACACAGCTGCTATACACCCACCTGCTCTCCTCGCCCTCCAGCAGCTTGCGGTAGGTGGCTATCTCCACATCCAAGGACAGCTTGGCCCCCAACATTGCCTGGTAGTCTCTCAGCAGTCTGGCCAGCTCCTCCTTAGACTGCTGCAGGGCCTCGTCCATGTCTTGTAGCTTCTGCTTTGCATCCTGGAGAGCCCTTTCTCCTCTCTCCTCTGCATCAGAAATGGATCCATGCATTTGTTCAATCTAAACCAGAGACAAGTGGAGGACCACAGAGGCATTGAGCACCTGGAATCTGACCTGGGCCTTTTGGGAGGTAGCATGTCTGGTGACCCCACCATGAGCACCCGTCCATCCCACCTGCTTCTTGACGCTGGCGATCTCTGCCTGCAGCCTCTGGATGTTGCGGTTGAGCTCTGCAATCTCCATCTTGCTGTTCTTCAGGTCATCTCCATGTTTCCCGGCGGTGATCTGCAGCTCCTGGTACTATGGGTCAGAGGCAGCACCATGGTCAGCACCAGTGGTTCATCAGGGTATCCCAGAGAAAGCTCTGGGCTGCTCTCTCTTGGAGTAAAGGCCACCTAGAGTTATGATCCTACATACACCCACCCCAAACTTCCCTCAGCTGAGGAGCAAAACAACATGCGCAGACACACAGTACACAACACACACACACACACACACACACACACACACACACACGCACCTATAGCAAGCCTCCCTCAATTCCACCAGTCCCTGGGCAGGCTCATAGTCCACTCAAACAAACATGTTTCTTAATGCCCTTTGCCACCTTTCTCACACACACCTAAGCCTTCACACCACCCTTGCCCACACTGGGACCCCCTCCTCACTCTCCCATCCACCATATTCTTTGCCCCTTTTCCAGGAGCTCCTGGCCTCAGAAGCCCTCAGAGCACCCATGTTCATTGTTTTCTCTCTCCTGTGTCAGCAACCAGACTACACACAGGTCATCCTCGGGAAATGCTGACAAGGAAATGTGCATTCTGACAAAACTCCCCTCCCCCAGTCCTGTAAAAAAGTCCACTGCTTCCCAGAACATCCTTTTTCAGATTGTGGGATAGAGGTCAGTGGCCCTAGAGTTAGCGCCAAAATCCACAAAGGAGATCACTACATCCTGCCTATTCAGAACCCAATGACTGGGCCATCAGCCTTTGTTCCTTTAACTAAGTCTTAGCCATTCAGAAACATGAACTCATACCTAAGAGAAAATAGAAAATATGTTCAATGGCAGAGTGACAAGTATTCACCTAATAAGTTCTCATACTGCTAAGAAAGTTGTAGAATACTTAGAGTCACAGAAAGTCATTTCTAAGTGATACATAAAACAGAAAAATAGAAAACAAAAAGATAAGATAATATTATGAAAACAAAAACAACAAATGTTGCCGTGGCTAAAGAACACACTTGTAATTTGCGCTTCTGAGTTTAGTTAGGGTTTAACGGCAGCTGCTTGTTAAGAGGCTTAGGAAAATTAGTCATCTGGCACCTAGGAGTATTAACTAAAAATAAATAACTAAAACAGGCAGGAACGGACCAAACATATTCAGAGTGTAAGAAGAGAAGGATAATCCTTAGCCAAATCTTCTGAAGTCTTTATCGTTGACATGTCACACTTTAAAGTCAGGAGGCAATATCAGTTTGGGGAGTATCTGTCTATTTGGGGGTGCAAACTCAGAGCCCAAGCTCACCTTGGTCTGGTACAGTGCCTCGGCCTCGTCCTTGCTCTTCTGTGCAATCAGTTCGTATTGGACACGCACTGCATCAATGATGCTGTCCAAGTCCAGGGAGCGGTTATTGTCCATCGACAAGATGACATTGGTGTCACTGATGTGGGTCTGCATCTGGGACAATTCCTGTGAAACATGGAGCATAGTTCACTCCTTCCACCCTCCTCCTAGAGCCTCCGTCTTCTCCTTTCTTCTCCCTCAAGGCTGTCTGAGGAAGCCAGAATCTGAGATAGAAGGGCCTCTTGGGAGAAAGCTCTCTGGATTGTTATATGCTATGAAACATACATGGGGGCTCTTAAGTATCTCCACTAAAAGTGATGGGGCCCAGGCATCTTGGCAGGAGGAAGGAGCCCTGTGACCCCCTCTCCATCATGCCTCTCTTGAACTCATGTCCCAGCCTTGCTCAGGCTTCACCACTTTTTTGGTACAGCTCTTTGAAAGACACAGTTGCTCCTTGTAGCGGTAAGAGCTCTCAACAACAGTGGAAAGGACTCCAGTTTGGAGTCACCTGACTAGCAATTTGACCAAGCAAATAATTGAATCTCTCAGTTTATGCATTCTTCTATTGAACTAACATCTCCATAAGGTAAGTAGAGCTTCTAATACAGCATTCCGTTCTGAACATGAACCCCCAAGTTGGACACAGGTGACAGGTGGACTTGGAGAGCAAACTATCCTGATCCCCTTCAGTTTGTCTTTTCCACAAAATCCCTTCTATCATTTTCTACAGGGTTCTCCCAGAGCCAGATGGCTTTCCCACAGAGCATGAAGACATGGTTGTTGCCCTCATATCCCAGGAGGCCTGAGAACATGAAGCAGGAAACTTCACCCTCACCTACTCAAGATTCTCAGTGCCCTACACCACCTCCACTGACCCCACAGAACCCTTGCAGTTGAGGGAAGGGCTGCCCCAATGTGAAGAGCTGAGGTCCTGGTGAGATGAGCCTTCTCCAGTTCATGCTCTTATGGGAAGTGGGGAAAGCAAAGGGCTTCTCCTCAGGACTGAACTCACCGTATCAAATAGATATTTCAGGAAGTTGACCTCCCCGTACAGCGTGTCCACTTTGGACTGCAGGTCTGATTTGCCCATGAAAGCAGCATCCACATCCTGAATGACAAAAGTGTTTAACTTCATCACCCAGGCATCGCCTGCCACCAGCATTGTGGCTGGCCCAGGGCCAGTGGCAAATGCTCTCCAGGTTTAGTTCCTGGCTAAAAAGTGCCATCACTTCACTCAAATCAGGGACCTAGAGACTTACTTTCCTAGCTAGAAAGGCACAACAATCTCCACACATGGGTCAGCTACATCCGCTCTCCAGGTCCCTCCCCAGATCCCAAGACAGTGTCCATCTGACTTCCTTTCTGTGTAAGTGCCCTGCAATTGGGCAGAATACATGCCATGCTGGTACAAGTGTTCACCCTGTCCACAGCACAGAGCATCCTCCTGGGTTCTCTCCTACCCAATCCTCAACTCCCTGAGGACCACCTCCCCCCATCCCTTACCTTCTTCATAACAACAAAGTCATTCTCAGCATTCGTCCTCTTGTTGATTTCATCCTCATACCTGTGATGAAGGCAAGAAGCAGGCTGAAAGGGATAGCCTTGGCTCTCTGAGATTCCGCCTCCCAGCAGAAAGCCCAGACTTTTCCAAGCCTCCACTGTCCTGAACTCAGACAGCCCTGCTCCCAGCACTGCTGGCCCCTACCAGGGCCTGGTGTTCTGGCCTCACTGATGAATAGCTGGGGGTAGCTCCCAATCCTACTAACCAATAGTAAGGACAAGGACCCGACATGAAAAACTCAGAGACACACAGAATGTCCCCAAATGTCCATAGTTATTCTGATACAACTTTACACATGTTTACTTCAAGCTTTTCCATTAAGACCATAAAGTAACAATTGCTTTGACTAAAGCTTTTAAGAGGAAAATATTTCACCTATAGTTCTGTCCCCACCTGTGACCTACAAAGTGAGTTTCATTTTCCCCTGTAGACTCACATGTGACCCAACACAGTAAGCATGTCAAGGTGATGCTAAGAGAAGTACCTGCACCCCTTGAGGTGGGAGAGTGTAGAAGAGGCCCCTCTGGCACATACAGTTGCTCAAGAACAGCTAGCTGGTCTGAAACTCAGCTCCTGTCATCCCTACCATTATTGCCAATAATTGCTGGGGCTTAGTAAGTGCCAATACTAAGAACTACTAAATATCATTTTATTTCAATCAGTGCCACTCTGTGTGGTTCCCAATCCACTAACATTACCATCTCTTAGAAATATGTTCAAGATACATATGCTCTGGCTGCATCCCAGGCTCACTAGATCAGAACCACTGGGGTAGGGTACAGGGTCTGATGCAACGTGATGCATGCTAAAGTTTGAGAACCACAGATCTATTCCTCACAGCACTCAGCAAGGAGGACACACCCCAGACAGAGAGATGAATTTGTAGGCTGGGCTCACTCATCCCCCCCATCCCTTGCTCTTTGATGCTCAATATAATTGACAACTGGCTGTCATTGCTATCCCACCAGAACTGTCCTATGTAAAATGCCCCCCCCAAAAAAGGCCAGGCGTTGGTGGCCCACGCCTTTAATCCCAGCACTCGGGAGGCAGAGGCAGGCAGATCTCTGTGAGTTCGAGGCCAGCCTGGTCTAGAGAGCGAGTGCCAGAATAGGCTCCAAAGCTACACAGAGAAACCCTGACTCGAAAAACAAAAAAAAAAAAAAAAAAAAAAAAAAAAAAAAAAAAAAAAAGTCGCCCCCTGCAGTTATACACTGCAGAGCCCACATGACTGTCCCTGGTCCCACTGCAACAGCAGGACCCTGAGTACTCTGCTTGACCCCTCCCCCACCTGGGTCCTTACTTGCTCTTGTAGTCCTCCACAACATCTTGCATGCTCCTGATCTCCAAGTTTTGGCGCGACCGCTCGGAGGTCAGAATATCCACCTGCCTCTGCAGCTGACTGATGTAACTCTCAAAGACAGGCTCCAGGCTGCTGGTTCGAGTGGAGGTGTTCACCTGCTGCAGCAGCTCCCATTTTGTCTGTAGCACCTGGTTCTGCTGCTCCAGGAAGCGCACCTAAAGAGCAAGGTCCCCAGGATACCCCAGACCGTGAGTCAGAACAGCTTTTTTGCATGGGAAGAGCAATCAGTGGCCTTGTAGCACACTCAAACATCAGAAGTTCAAGTTGGGCCTTTAGGCCACTGGGGGAGGTAATGTGACTTTTTATGTCACCTCCAGCCTGTTTCATCCAGCTACACACCCTGACATAACAGAGCTCTCATCCCACACTCAATTTATCCATGCCAAAATGAGCAAGTGCCATTTCCTTTGTCTTTGTGATTGGAGCGTGGCACATAACTGAGGGCAAAAAGGCAGAAGTAACACCAGGTCTTGGAATATCCTGGGCAAGCTTCAGTAGGTGTCCCCTGCATCCACTACCATGTTTGCTGTCTGCAACTGTGGTTTTCAAGGCAGCAGATTTTTTTTAATTAAGTGCTTTCACTTTTTAAAATCCTGAAATGTATTTAAATGCTCCAAGTAAGAACTTTGGGCTGACAGATATTTGGGGAAATACCTAGATTACTATTTCCAGGAAATAGAGCATGGACCCGGCCCTGTTTTTTCTTTCTTCATCACTTTTTCCCCTCACACTTCGGGAATAAAGATTGGATACAGAGCTGGGGCTGGCTATACAAATCAAGTGCATTGATTGCCCTTGGTGTCACAAAATCCAGCTTTCACTGTTCCCCTGCTGGTGGCCCACGGTGGAACTTCCTCTCCCATGAAGAGATAGAGAGGGCTGTGCCAACGATGTGCTTCCCTCGGGGACTATGCACGCGTGTGCACACACATACAAATTCTTACAATTCATGTACATATATAAAAATGTGTACCATATACTCTCATATACACACTCACATGCACAAGTATTCACACTCACACACAGGCATATTCACATACACTCACACTGACATGCACACATTCACACACTCACTTGTACACAAATACTCCTACCCACAAGCACATTCCTGTATAAATATGTTTATAAACACATCCATTCACATATGCACATTAAGAGAAGAAGAGATCTCTAAAGCCCAGCGCCCTCTTCCAGGAGCTGTGGAAGGGAATGGGGAAACCACTGCTTTGTGGAATCAGAAGAGCACTTTGCAGACACCATCCTATGATGAAGCACTGTAAGCCACCCAGAATCCCCGAATCCCTGAGATTCCACCTGTCTACCGGTCCAGCTCTTGCCAAGTCCCTTTAGATTCTGACTCTAATCAGAAGGGTGTGTGCAGAGAGCATTGTGTCTCAGGCTTATCTTGGCTGGCTGTATCACAGCAAGGGATTGGGCAACCAGCTCTCAGAGCAGACATGTCAGGACAGCTTATAACACCTCCATGAGGAATTCCTGCCACTATCTATTTTTATTCTGTGGTGACACTCCCAGTGAGTGGAAAAATCAGTTCTACACTCCATTACAGCTGTGTGTTCGCTGACAGTGGCATAGTGGAGCTGGACCTTCTCAGATGGTGGCTTTTATTCCAAATGAGACAAGGTGTCAGGGGAGGATTTACTAGGAGAAGGTGCTGTCCTTTCACGGGATGGCTCTGCTATGCTATTGAGAATAGGCCAGGCAGTACTAGCAGGAAATCAGAAACCAAACTGAGAGATTACAGTAGTGAAATCTGGGGAGACCCAGTGACTGATGGTCATCGTGGCCTGCTCCAAAGGGAGGACAGGAAGCCACTATCTTCTTACTTTGGTACCCTGCTGTGAAACTAAATGAGCCTCTGCTGATGGCAGGAGCCTTGATCCAGTGAAAATCCCAGATTAATTTCCAGAAGTCCGTGGTACTTTGTGGATGTCAGTTTTCATTGCTCCTCTCTTGGCCAACCTTGGCCTCCTGGTAGCATCTCCTTCACTATGAAGTCCTTGCTCTAGGTGAATTTTCCCGTCTCTGCCTGTACTCATGCACAATGATGTCCAAAAGAGTTTCTCACCCAGAGTGATCAGAAGTAGCCACAAGCACCTGGTTCTGTTGAACTCCCTGGGGCTGTCTGTCCACGACCCTCCCCCCATGTCCTCCTCCTGCTCACACACTGCTCCATCTCCAACACTTGCCCTGATAGCAGGCAGTGGGCATTGTGCCTCTCTGGGCAAGTGCCAAAAGGGAGGCTTTTACTATCTGCCAACCTCTCCTCGGAGATCTGAACACGAGGCGAACCTAATCAGTGAATTGGGTTAAAGGGCGTCACGGTGGCCCTTTGTTGTCCCCAGGCAACATAAAAAGAACAACTCAGACAGAATGTTTCATTATACGATACTGACCCTAGTTTCTGAGAGACCTGCCACCAGGATACTCATTTGAAGCCTCCGGCAGCTTCCCAGCTGCTGGTGCTGCCTGTCCCTCTCTTATATCACCACCACCCTCCCTTCTGTCACTTTCCCAGAAGTTTTGACATTTGACATTCCCTGAGGGGCTCACACTTTTTATGCCTCCTTGCTGCGTGGACATTCTCGCTGCCTGAGAGCTGTTTGGCTTTCTTGCACCTTCAAAACCCAGATAGGATCTGAGGTCTCTCAGATAGGAGATAGGAGTGAAGCACTCTCAGTATCCAGCAGGCACCGTTCATGGCACCTTCAGGCTACCATGACCTAAAGAGTACCACACATGCTAACGCATCTCCTATAAACTGTCACAATTCTCTACCATTCAGTTTTGGAGCTCCCTGTAGCTTCTGTGTATGGTGGTATACAGTAAACCTAATAAAATATTTGTGAATTGAATAATTGAATGGGAGCGGGACAAATGGGCAGTAGACTGATAGGTATGTGAATTGGTGGACTGACAGACATTTGAGTGTGTAGCAGGGAATGCATGCGGGTGTAAATTGGTTATGCATATGAGTGTGGGTAGAAGGATGTTTAGATGATATTTATTGTGGATGATGGTGGGTGGGTGGGTGGATGAATATATAGATGGATGAATATGGATGGATGGATGGATGGATGGATGGATGGATGGATGGATGGATGGATGGATGGATGGATGGATGGATGGATGGATGGATGGATGGATGGATGGATGGATGGATGGATGGATGGATGGATGGATGGATGGATGGATGGATGGATGGATGGATGGATGGATGGATGGATGGATGGATGGATGGATGGATGGATGGATGGATGGATGGATGGATGGATGGATGGATGGATGGATGGATGGATGGATGGATGGATGGATGGATGGATGGATGGATGGATGGATGGATGGATGGATGGATGGATGGATGGATGGATGGATGGATGGATGGATGGATGGATGGATGGATGGATGGATGGATGGATGGATGGATGGATGGATGGATGGATGGGGTTGAGTTGGTAGGTGAATGAATAGACTGTATAGATGGTGGATAGAAGGATGGATGTTGGGGATGGGTGATTAAAGGAGTAAATTGGTGATTAGATACACAGATAAATGGAATGTGAGTAATGATGACTGGGAGTGAGATTATTGTCATGTGTATCTGTTGGGTTTTGTCACACCCCTTATCTGCTTTGAGTTGGTAGGTGAATGAATAGACGTGTATAGATGGTGGGTAGAAGGATGGATGTTGGGGATGGGTGATTAAAGGAGTAAATGGGTGATTAGATACACAGATAAATGGAATGTGAGTAATGATGACTGGGAGTGAGATTATTGTCATGTGTATCTGTTGGGTTTTGTCACACCCCTTATCTGCTTTCCTACTAAAAGGGAAAGATAAAAACAACACATCTCTTAGAAGCCTACATTAAATGCTATCTCTGTGAAAGCTTCGGTCAAATGCTCTCTTGGAGTCTCAGAACACACAGAAGAGGAAGTGACTGTCATCATCAAACTAAAACAGCACTGTAGTAGCAGCACTATGGCAGAGTGTGACACCCTCTTGGCTATTTGGATGGTGACCAAGGACTCTATCTGCCCCTGAGGTACTCACCTTGTCGATGAAGGAGGCAAACTTGTTGTTGAGGGTCTTGATCTGTTCACGCTCCTGGGTCTTCACCCTCTGAATTTCAGGGTCCACCTCCAAGTGTAGGGGCTCCAGGAGGCTCTGGTTAATAGTCACCTCATGGATACCCCCAGAAGGATAAGAAGGACCGAAGCCCCCAAGCCCAAAATTGCTAGCACCAAATCCAGCACCCCCAAAGCCACCTCCAAATCTGCCACCACTTCCAAAGCCACCACCTCCAAAGCCACCACCTCCAAAGCTTCTTCCTCCTCCAAATCCTCCTGCTCCTCCACCTAGACAGAAACCACTGGCACTTCTCCCCACTAGGCTCCCAAAGATGCTTTTACTACCACCCAGACTGTAGAGACTCCTGGAGCTAAAGCCCCCTCCATAACCACCACCACCACACCTCCCCCGTGACACAGACCCCACAGCCTGTCTCCCACCACCAAAGCCTGAGGAGGACCTGCTGCTATAGGCCCTCCTGCTCCTGGAGCTAAAGGCAGACTGAGAACTAAACCTGTGGCTCATGGTTGCTAGGGCAACCAGAGGTGGGAAGCAAGGGCCCAGCTGGAAGGAGACAGAGAGCAGGGAGGGAAGGAGTTGTGACTCCCTTGGAAAAGATCTGGCTCAGTCCCTATATATACACACACCTGCTGGGCTGGGTGCCTGGGAGGGGAATATTTTGCCAGTAACATCTGCTTAAAAACCTCACACCTATGTGTTGCTGAAATTACATTGCGGACAAACTCCCCCAACTTGATCATTTATCATTCATCTCTTACTATGGAGAGAAATAGAAGGAAGGGTAGCAATCTCTCTGGATCTCAGTGTTGGAAACTCCTGTAGAGTTTCTCCTCAAATCTCAAATTGATCTTTTCCTAAGAAATGCCATTGAGTTGTTTGTTTGGGGTGTGCCTGAGAGATCTGGGATAAAACTGTCGAGTGTCTAGTGACCTTGGGACCACAGCAGGGATGAGAGTGCAGACACTCGCTATAACAGTTTTGCATCTTTTTTTGTATATTAACAAAATACTTTGTAAGCATCTCCTTGTATTAATGTCTCCTAGACTCAAAAGTAAACTATCCCCAAACTATCTTCTTTTCTTCTGGCATTTCTAAACTGACATTGACAATATTTTTGCAAAAAACAAAAAGAGTAGTTATCCTTTAAGGGACATGTAAAGACTACGGATTTTTTTTAAAGACTTAATTTGGATTTTATTATATTATTATTATTATTTGTTTATTTATTTATTTATTTGGCCAGCATGAAATTGCCCTGCTAGTAAAATATAGCAATAATAACAATAAGTTCCTTACAAGTATGAAGAGAGGTCTGGCACAGGAGAAATATTAGGGGATCCACAGGGATGACCCCAACTAAGAATTCAAGCAGTGGTAGAGAAAATGCCATTGATGCCCTTCCCCTATAATGAGATTGATGTCTTCCTTGGTTACCATTCCTAGAGCCTTCATCCAGTAGCTGTTGGAAGCAGAAACAGGCACCCACAGCTAAGCACTGAACCATACTCCTGGAAT